TAGAACTCATGGACTGCGCCCACCCGATGAGCCCCAGGAAGAGCGAAACCGGTCGTGAGCTGTCAAAAAGTATTCAAGAAACTTGGGAGTATGGTAGGATAATGGTAAGATACTCAAGATATCGCAATATACTTTCGTGAACAAAGATACTCCCAAGCTTTCTATGGAGGAGAACTACGCACTGATGATGTCACCTCGATTAGTGATGAAACGTTTGCAACCAAATTGCCCAGCTCAGCGAACAAGCCAACGACCATCTACGCTACCTGAGCTACCGACATTCTCCTCCATAGAAAGCTTGGGAGTATCTTTGATCACGAAAGTATATTGCGATATCTTGAGTATCTTACCAGGTGAATGATGGGCAAGCCTTTGTGCAGCACATTTAGTTGAGGAACATAATGAACGAGGGGTTCGTATAAGTCACCCGTAGGAACCAAATTAATGCGCAAATGATTCTATTTATCGAAATCTTTTCAATTCGGGTTCAAAATAAACATAGGCTTGACGGAACTTCGGGGAACGCGTACCTGATTAATCCCAAGAACGGCTAAAGTGGCCGTAGTCTGTTGAGCAACGTTGCGAGTAGTTTCCTCCATGAACGATACTGATCTATTGTCCACAGGAACATTTGGAATGCGTGGAAGATACACTAATAGTGCAAATGTATATACTACTGATGAAGAATGGAAGTAGTATATATATTATAATGTCCTGTCTCTGCTCCCACATCCGATGGAAGACGAAAGTAAACAAGAAAGTTATGGAATCGCTTCGTAGTGTTCGTGTAATTTTGTATGTTGGCCAATGAAAGCGCAAGGGTGCTCAAGTATGCGCCTAGGAAAGTGCAACTTTCAAAAACACCGCGCTGAAAGGATGTACACTTCCATGTAACTGCTTAGTTCGTGTTTGCTGATAAGGAACTTCGTAACTTCGAGTATGATGGACTTGCCTACACAGCGTAGATGTCATATGAAAATTCGAAGTATTACTCAGCCATAGTCTTAAATAAGACCAGCTGCAAAGTACATGAATGTCCGAAGCGTCTGACAGTTATCGCGACAAAATAAATACGCGCTTCCTGGAAGACCAATGTAAATGATACACAAATTAGATGTTTTTCGTTCCAAACTAAGGATAATCATAAATTTATCGGTACATCATGACATGTGGCATCTCATTCCAAGACGGATGAGTGGGAATGATGACAACGATTTTGACTACAGGAAACGGGAGACGCTCAGGCAGTGGGTTCTACGATGCGAAATGCTCTTACTTTTTGTCTTCAATCTCTTTCGTCCCATTCTACTTCGGGTGACATCTATTGAGAAATTCGGATAACTAATGATTTTTTCTTTACCACATGTATCCACTGAAAATAACAAAAGACTAACAGCTCGTGTAGTACGCCGATTATGCAGGTACAAATTGTCTGTGTTCAACGGAGGATTAGGCATAACAACTAGTTATGGACACAAAACCATTCGTCCCAGCTTTCTGAAGCGCGCCTGCACCGAACCTATTTCGATCTACCTTACATTGTAGGATCGCCAGCCTTAAACCATACTTCAGCAACGGGCTGTGTGGTCATGGTTTCTCCATTTGAGAGCTATGCGATTAAAATCTTCCCAGCCCATTAGGTATACGCTGAATTCAAAGATAGAACCAAACAGAAGATGAACACAAAAACTATCAAAGAGAATTGATACGATCATGTTTTTTGTTATCATAAATCAGTCAAAAGAACTGAAGAGATGATTAAGGCCTCAAGTATATTTGTCAAATAGCTGTCAGCTACATCTACTGTAGTGGCATTCAAATATTACCAAATGATGGGCTGATTAAGTTTTTGAGCTTCATTATGGAATTATAAAGTTGTACACTAGGTATGAGGTCCTGGCGCACGCTCACTGTAAACCATATACTCGAGTTTAACTCAGAGGAACATACACACACCGGAGCGCATTCATTCACAAATGACAACCGGAAATTTTCAAGGAGGAAAATCACACACGTACTGTCTGAAACGGGCCATGCATTTCGAAGAATTAACTGTCTAACTTTTAGGATTAATGTGAGTTGCTCGGCTAGTTCAACATCCGATTCCTCTTGAAAGTGTTCCCTGATGTAGAGTGTTCTTTTGCTCAGTTTTTATGCACTAAAGTACTACAGCATGTCCATATATAGAACTTTTCAGTACCAAGTCGATATCAGAATTAACATTTGGAAAGTTGTGATATTTTATCAACATGGTCTGCAATAAACTGTTCTGCATGCTGAGCGTCCGCGGCGACTGAAAGAAAACTCATGAGGGTTACGCGTTTTGGATTTATGACTCGCTCTAAGAAATTACTTGCAACATTTCCCTTCTCCATTTGACTGTTGCATGCAGCAGTACTTGGAAACCGGAAACCACCAAGATCTCAATGACATAGCTTCAACGCAGTAATATTTGAACACAAATCATTTCACTTTACATTTTGAAAAAATGTGATACTTAGCAAAGAGCCACCTGAGGTATCTTGCTTAGCCGCAAACAAGGGAAATGCGTCTCAAATATTGCCCACGCAATAACGTTGCCTGTGTATCTTTGAAGCACCTATCAATTTTTTCAGCGTGTTCATGCACTGGCCTTGAAACTGGGAAACTTTAGTGACAGAGGAGTCAAAAGAGCGGCTGACCATGTGAACACTACTGTGCGACAAATACAAAACGGTCCCAGTAACCCATAATATTTTTGCAAGTCACATACACCGTGGAAGAATACAACTCAATGGATAAAAACCTTCGTCCTTTGTCCTGTTGTCCTTCATGTTATCTAATACACATGCCTCCGGAAGATACATCCCCGTATCTCTTAAAGGTCAAGGCTGACGAAACTGCTACATGTCTGAAATGGACAATTGTTTGTGTCGTATCAAAAATTCGTAATCATTGGTGCCTCAATGAAACCTCACACAGGAGTCTGATGTGAGTAAAGTTCGTTCATAAATTTATTCATAAATTCATAAACGCACAGCTTTGAACACGGAGTACACGGGCATCAAGCAGTATGCAGAGTTGATCCCAACTGTCTACCTGAGAAATTTGATTTCCATTTAGACTGGGAGAAATAAAAATCAGTCCAATTTAGCAGTAGAATTCACTTGAACAATTGTGATATCCATCCTAATTGCATAAATTGGTTGCTGGCCGATTACCAGACATAACCACGAGAATGCTCTTGTTGACAATGTATATAAAATGGAACGCGTACTTCTTCTGGTGAGCACTTTGACCAAATTTTTTTCCTTTATAAAAGAAGGTAAGAAAAGATTCGAAAGACAGATCATTGAATGAGGTACATATATTGCACACTACATTTTAAAAAAATACAATCTGGTAGTTGGCTTACTCGCTGAGCTAGGCAATTTGATTGCAAACATTTCAAGAGCAATCGAGGTGAAATCATCCATACAATGCTTCTTGATGAGATCGTGTTACTGATACTTTGCTAGTAGATTTGAAACTGTGGTGTTTCGATTTCAAGTCTCGTGACAGTGACCGAGGCTAAGCTGTTCCGCCGCTTTACCCTGATGAAAACTCGTGAGCAACTACAGCTTAAAACTGCCAAACCTGGTGGAGAATATCTTCCTACCAAATCATTTCGTGAATAAAATGCGGGTCTCATCAGGAGCCAGTGGTTAGAGGAACTTTGACTGTCATTGAAAACTAAATTCTGACGAATCTGTTCCGAACCCTAAAGTAGATTCTAATGTTATCTATTGAAACTTGCTTTACGCTTGAGGAGGACTGTCGAGTTTCAGGAATGGGTGATGAGAAAACTGGATTAGAATTTCATTTTTGTTAGCCACAGCAATTGTCAGCGACTAGATGGCCCACGTGGCAGTTGCTCTCGCACCGTTTGGGATGTGAATTCAATGTTTTTGTCACATTTTGGTGGGTTGTCAGAATTTTCGGTCTCGATTTCCCAAGTTCCTGTTTGTTCAACCTCCGACAGGCCTCCTTTGTTCGCTTCTTTCATGTAAGCCCGTTTAGATGGCTTCTGTTGTACCACAAGCTGCATTGCTGTGGCGGAAACAGGTCCTTTTAGTTCTGTAACCACTGAGATAGCCACAGACATATCATTGGCTGAAAAGAAGACAGATTCTCACCTTCCCGTGGAATGACTGACATACTCAAGGGAAGTTTTCACTGGCTGCATTGCAAATCAAAGAGTGTGGAACTGCTAACTGAAGGAAGCGACAAAGTTTGGCGGACTTTTCATTTGCCAGCCAACTGAAGCATGATGATTTTACATAAATAGTGTCATTTCTCGGTAATGGAAAAACAATTGTCCGGAACGAACTGCAAAGTAAGACATCTTCCAAACAGATTTCTGGAACGAAATCTCACAGAATTAACAACACTTGNGAGTTCTGGGACGAAATCTCACAGAATTAACAACACTTGCGTGCTGAGTATCGTGATTTTGATTATACGTTTCTGATTGTATATGCTGCAGCAAACTTCTCCACAGTTTACTAGCTATGACATTTTCTCGTAAAATAAAAAAATTCGTAGATGATTCATTGGTACGATCTGAATATAAAGGAAAATGTGCTATTGAACTGAAAATCGCAGCATCTAGTCCCTTGTGATAAATATCCTCCGTGCTCGGCTACAGGCTATTCTGGGGAATCTAGTCCACAATTTAAATTCGAACACAAAAAGGCGAGTTTCTCAAAACGGAAAAAATCTGAATCAGGCCAAACGGAGTTGAATCAATCTTTGTTTCAATGTTTCGTATCAGCGTTCTGAATTGATATTTTGGCCTATGGATGTGTAGCGAGTGGGTCTAATCACTAGCTCTATTTTTTATATTGCATCAGACCAGGTGAATGGATAACGTTCTTATATCATACTTGGACCCGATATGAGCAGACTCTTGGATGAAAATTACGCAGGAGGCAAGCAATCAATCACAAGAACGTTTGTAGCAAAACATGTTATCCGACCAACTTTTGTTTAGAAAAACCAACATTTCACTGTATGCAGGTATGTAATGAAAACAATAGAAGTATGCACTGGTGCTGCTGGATAGAGATAGGAAAATGCCGCACTAAGCACTTGTCATTTTATTTATTAGGTAACTGTGCGCACATGTTTGAAATGGTGTTTCATATTTTTGCAATATAATGATCTGGCGTGTTAACGAGTGTAAACCGGAGGACTTCTAACCTATTTGCGTAGTACGTTAAACATGGCACTCTATTGCGAGTTGTAAGCTTCACACACAAAATCCTGATTTGGATGCAAAAATACATTTTGATCTCGACAAATTTTGAGCATCATTCGGATTTTAAAGTAGGGTGTACGAGCTGAGCTATGGTGAGTACATTACTGTCAGTCAGTCGTGTAATTAGGTACAAAGTCAGTTGAATTAATTTCATTCACTGTCTTGTATGTCGCGCTCAGACAACAGGCGATTCGACGGTTTCACCTCAAGTCCTTTGAATTCCCTCCTCGATTCAGTGGGTTTTTTGTCAGTCGATTGCAAAATGTTGCGTAGTCCGGTGGCTCCCATTGATCTGGAGAATGACCACGATCCGGACTTATGTATAGGCTGTTGGTCTGCCTGATCGGATGTTGGAGATAAAAAACCCTCTGATTTTGGAGGAAACTTTCGCGCAGAAATGGGTGAAAGAAACAGTGATCGGCGAATGCGCTGCCTGCACGTATTTTGTTCACTGTTGTCCTCCTCAGATATCAACAATTTTGGCGCAGACAAGTTGGATAAAATGCGCGATTCTACGGGGGCAATTGTTATTGCCGCTGTCTCGTTCATAGCTTGTGCAAGTCGAAAATCCGATTTGCATTCAGTTTTGTCAGTTACGGTAAATAGGTACTTGGAATTTGACAATGACTTGTTTACGTTCTGAGCTGCAGCTATGGTAATGGAGTTAAAATCACCGGACATTGATTGAAGCATACCGTCACTTGGCACTGTGACTACTGTACCATGAGCCTGACCGTCTGTTGTGCTTGCACTAGTCCCTCGTTCAATTACCATTCGATGTGCCAGTTCTGCCGCCAAAACGCGATACTTAGCCGTCTCCAGGTTTCGTAATGTCCTGCGTCTCCGTATGGGTTGAGCTCCTGTAGTGTGTTTCGAAAGTGAGTGTCTTGGTGATTTCAGCTTGGAGGACCGGTCGTCTTTTGCCTGAACTGGGAGTGAATTGAAAGTTCCCTTTGAGCTAACCATGGGCAAGCTAAGTCGTTTTCTTCTAGGCAACGTTGTCTTTCCATTAAATCCCGCATCAGTTTGTCGTTTGCTATCACCGCTCTTATCAGAAGTGTCTAGATTGACGTTTGATGCTCTTTTTCGCAACACTTCCTCCGGAACGCAAAGATTGTTGTGAAAGCTGGAAATTGTCCACTGATTTTTCTTCATGTTAGTCTGCTCAATGTCGTCGCCAAACTCATACGAACTGTCATTTATTTGCATCACAGGTACGTTTATTTCATCAGTCAGATATTTCTCCTCAGGTATTTGGTTTGAATCGAGCTTCGAAGAAACCGTTTGTAGTTTTGGTATCTCATGATTGCTTGGCTCATGTTCATCATCCTGGACCCTTAGGATTTCCATATCTGTTGGTGAGTGTTGCTCATCCGGGATATCTACGGTCTTCCAAGGTTTATTCTTCAGAAAGATGCCCATCCGTTTTGTTCGAGCACTCGTGATGGAATCGTCCGAAGATTTTTGGTCTCTTGAGTTGCGGCCATTCGGTTCTGTGTGATCGTACATACAAAAGCTGTCCATAGCAGGAATAACCATATCGGTGAGAGGATCCACTCGGTAGCGCCATATTTCCTCAAATCTCTGAGTCTGTGTGGAAAAAGTAAGGTTAAGGTCATTGCTACTTTAATATTAAAGCAAATTTGATGTAATGAGAAGGTACATGTATATATACATGCGAGACACCAAAATATAATTACTCTGGTATTTTGTGTATGAGCAGCACGTAAAGATGACCCAGAACCGGATCCAGTCAGTTTGAAGCGCACCATTTTGGCACATTTTGGGCACTCTATCCATTGCTTGAGTAACATCTTGGTCCTTAGTGGAATTTTGTGCTTATATCTCAAAGCAAGGAATGCTCGGTGAATGCCTTCCCAGCGGATTATCTGGGAAGTCTGTGATACACACTATGTGAAAAGATACTTGGATATATATGTATATGTATAAATATATATACGTGTGTGTATAAATCGAATGGCTATAATTTCAGTAAGTCTACTTGCACATCAGCTCGCAACTCACACTGGTTTTCACCATGCTCCTTATTCGGATGTAGGAAATCGAATATACCAGAATCAGGAAAACATGTTTGCTTGTTACAAACAAACTCTTTGACACGTTAGTTGAATTTTACTGCAAAAGCACCGGAGCTGAGGATTTGTAAAATGGTCTATTATTGCTATACCTGTCACCTCTAGGAATTTGAAACGGCCAAAATGAATTTTATGCAGCTAGATGATGTTCAGAGATTCTGTTTCATCTTCTTCGACGATACAGACTAAAACATATTCGCGCAAACTTCCTTTTACTCTCACCAGAGAGAGATCTGTCGTTGAAGGAAACCATATTCCTTCTAGAACACCAAGGGTGGAAACTAATGCTCTGAATGACAGGAAGTTAGAGCCCAGAGAGTCGTTCAAATCAAGTTGAGCCCCCACTCGTTGACTGACTAATGTGTCAAGTGAAGTTGAAGTCCATATCTACTAGCAGCGCAATATTTTAGTATGTCTTTTTTCATTTCAAAAACGCTCGGTCGTTGTTTNTTTTTTCATTTCAAAAACGCTCGGTCGTTTTTGTTATCAATGTTGACCTGAAAACACCAACTCGTGACCAAATCAATCCACGATCTACAGTGCTTCGTCTTTGGCTGAAGTATAACTAAGCGGTTGAAAGGAGTCATTGAACGGTATAAAAGTGGAGTAATGTGAAAGGGGGTGAGGATCGCATTTGAAGAAGCGCCTACCGACCGTGAGCTCGTTTGACAAGCTTTCTGCTGTCCAGAATCCTTAGAATGAGTATGGCACCGCATCCGATACATTCAGTTGGTTCAAAAGGTCAAGCACCCTCATTCAGGCTACTGCAGCCTGCAAGGGCAATCGAATTTTTTTGAAAGTAGTGTAAATTACATGGTAAGGCACGATACACCTGATGGAATTTCAATAAAAAATGAAGCTCCGTTAAAAAATGGCACAAAAAAATCTACTGCACATTGATGATGTCACTGCGACGATCGACGAAATGTCTTTAACCAGTTAGCCAAGCTCATCGAAAGTATCGCCAGCGGTCTAATCTATTCAGGAATCTGCCTACCTACCTACCTACCTATCTATCTATCTATCTATCTATCTATCTATCTATCTATCTATCTATCTATCTATCTATCTATCTATCTATCTATCTATCTATCTATCTATCTATCTATCTATCTATCTATCTATCTATCTATCTATCTATCTATCTATCTATCTATCTATCTATCTATCTATCTATCTATCTATCTATCTATCTATCTATCTATCTATCTATCTATCTATCTATCTATCTATCTATCTATCTATCTATCTATCTATCTATCTATCTATCTATCTATCTATCTATCTATCTATCTATCTATCTATCTATCTATCTATCTATCTATCTATCTATCTATCTATCTATCTATCTATCTATCTATCTATCTATCTATCTATCTATCTATCTATCTATCTATCTATCTATCTATCTATCTATCTATCTATCTATCTATCTATCTATCTATCTATCTATCTATCTATCTATCTATCTATCTATCTATCTATCTATCTATCTATCTATCTATCTATCTATCTATCTATCTATCTATCTATCTATCTATCTATCTATCTATCTATCTATCTATCTATCTATCTATCTATCTATCTATCTATCTATCTATCTATCTATCTATCTATCTATCTATCTATCTATCTATCTATCTATCTATCTATCTATCTATCTATCTATCTATCTATCTATCTATCTATCTATCTATCTATCTATCTATCTATCTATCTATCTATCTATCTATCTATCTATCTATCTATCTATCTATCTATCTATCTATCTATCTATCTATCTATCTATCTATCTATCTATCTATCTATCTATCTATCTATCTATCTATCTATCTATCTATCTATCTTCTATCCTATCTATCTATCTATCTATCTATCTATCTATCTATCTATCTATCTATCTATCTATCTATCTATCTATCTATCTATCTATTATCTATCTATCTATCTATCTATTAGTCTGGTTGGCTGCCTGTTTGTCTTCTCTGTCTGCTTTTTCTATCTATCTATTTATACGTCATGTATGGTTGATGCAAGGCCATTCCATGGCGATAACCTCGATTTACATACACATATCAGAGTTAACGGGCTAATTGTCATAGGCACCCGTTCAAAAAACCTACGCTGCTTCGACGCTGCTTGATGCCTAGTACCACCTTTGCAGTACCCTAATGTTTTTTCGGAAACGTAAAGTACTCAGTTAATCGTGCCCACTTTGGCATTACTTCCCAATAGTATGAATCACCCTGGAACATAATATGGCATAATTTTGTATCTTACTGATGAGTGATGAAATGAAACTCAGGATGAGATATTTGTTGAGTAAATCCATAGGTTCCCTGGATATTCCATGGTGATGTTATATTGCTCTGTTCAAAATTTTGGCTTGCACTATAATACGTATTTAATCCAAAAAGTAACCGCGTGTTCCAGACGGAGAGCTCAATCAACCAGTTTCCACCTATGGTATTTGCAGTGAGGTACGACAACTTTCTGCCCCCAAATGACAGGTGTCAAATTTAAAACTAGGCCAGAAAATTTTGTATGACGGATCAATCTACCCGGGTGGGTGGTAGATGGTTTGCTAAGGGACACCAGTACACGTCAATGCCAGTTATTTTAAATGCTATTTTGTTGAAGCTCAGCAACATGGCATGCACTTTCACACTTGCGTTTCTGACGTGGTATGCAAGGTGTATGAGCGACTAATGCATCTCTCGAGAATTCGCAAAATATGCTCCAATCAGTGGGCTTGAACAATAAAGTCCCGAATTTTATCAGAATAGGTCCCTTATATTATGCATTGTCCCGGTTTGTTCCCATGCTTCTAAGAACCAAATTATTTTCAAACGATTCTGTGCGCTTTATTCTGGTGTTTGGAAACCGAACGTACGACTAATGAGATAATGTTTTAACTTGATTATACAGTTGACCCTCAATAACATGCTAACTAAGTAAATCACAGGTGAAGAAAATTCCGATAGTCAATTAAAATTTGCAGGTGGTTTAGGCGGAAATTTTGCATGCTAATTGGGAAGAGGCTTACATTTTAACTGACGTGCTGCGTCATAACTCTATATCACGGCGGATGGGTCTCTTATGAATTCCTTCATGACTGCTAGTAAACCATCAAAATGCTCGTTAAAAACCACAATAACCTAGCAAAATGCAAATCCACGCATAAGTTTCCCGGAGAAAACGGGTGCATCTAAGTTCCATTTCACCTACTATTGTACAGCAACAATCGACTTTCACTTTTCCAGCTCACTAAGAAATTATGCTGAGCAACTTCTCAAATTACACAAATCAACAAATTTCACGCTTTCTTATGTTGGAAAATGATTCAACACTTACCTCATCTTCATATAATTTGTTGAAGCATTGCGACAAGCATACAGTACAGTGATACCGATAGAACAGACTGATTGGCATGGTTACCACAAAAAGTATCCACCCGTAGCTGTCTTTCTCATTCGGCAATAGGAAGATTATGTCGGCATTTTTCAGCTATGTAAGAGGAAGATGAAAGGAAAATGATTAGTTCTTGGAGCAACTGAAATATGGGAGGTGGAAAGAAAGATCAAGTTACGGTACCATGTAGTGTCAATAGAGTGATTTTACGAGGCAAAGTTTTGATGAATTTCATTTGGATCTCTTAAAATATGCATATGTTGACACTTGAGACACTAGGGGGTCCTGCTTAGTTTGTCTGACGGATGCCTGACTACTACATTTCCTCTTGTTGCTCAAGTTGCACTATATATAATGTATTTGGAAGCCAGGTTCCGGTGCCCATTGTGGGGCATTGGACGTTTCGGAGACGACACAGCGCGACAAATCTAACGAATTTTATCAACAACTTAGCAACCTGGATCCTAACGTTATGTTCAGCATGGAGTTAGAGTGCACTGTCCTTCTTAAACTAATCAAAGTTTGGGGATCCGAACAACCGGTAGGTTTAACTAAGCGGCAAATGAGACTGGTGTTGCTCAACACCAAGACTCAACCTACAACGGGTTGGAATATACCAAGCAGTGATGCCTGAGATCATTAGGACGGTGGTAAATTCAGCTAACAGCAGAATAGATTTGGTGCAAGCTTTATGCTCAATATTGGTCCAAACGAAGGATTAACTCCGGTTGACAAGACTAGGACGGTGCACACTAAATAAAATGTATCGATCACATATGTCAAACAGTCAGGTATTTATACACCAGAATCGGTGAGCACAAGCGATGCGAAAACAGACCAACAAGGCAGATATCAAGTGACAGTTGAAGGCTCAGTAATGACAGTTGCGAATTGGACACTAAACGCACAGTAGTTCTGGAAACTAGGGGGTTTCGAAATAAAGGCTAATATTTGCTCTAAGGTAAATGGTGACCTAAGCAGTGGAAACTGCCAAGCGTCTCAGTACCAACAGATCAGTAGGACTGGCAGTTACCGGCGTGAGGTTTTCAGTGATCTGTGTCTAAAGTTTTAAACGCAAGCTCCCCAACTCAAAACCGTCGTCCATTATGGTATTTTCCTTCTCCGAACCTATCCTTACTGGCCAGCAAGAACTTCTAATTGACCTTCAGCACTGATTTGGCCGGCTAGTTGTACAAGACCTTACTAACTGATCCTCCGTATGTCTTAAAACTTGGTCATCCTGACAATCCTTCCCTGTATGACGGAGTTCTTGTCAAAAATGGCACGTTTCCTATCAGCGAAGCCACTGACTGCTTAACAGACATATCTGAAACGGTGACTAGTTAGACGGTTCAAGGCATCATTCACTTCGGGAAAATCACCATCCTATGAAAGTAAACAATTCGCGACACTGCGAATCATTTTTATTGGCAGGGATTCACTGACATAGTGGCCCTCCCCGCGAAATTCGGCCGGCCCAACGAGTAGTTACATATGGTTGTTTTTACTTTCTAAGTTGTAGCAAGTTAATGTTGATATCTCTCTTTATTTCCTCTCTATTGTCCCTCACAAATGCCGTCTTTTTAAAGTAGATGCTGTTATACTGTTTTGTAAAGTTTCCGTCGTCTATCTAGCACATTCGCTTCCCAATAAGACTTGCTGGAATACCACTGAGGTTTAAGCGTTCCTGTTATATTTTGCTTCACAAGATTTAGTGGCTGCCGAAGCTATTGCTTTTCGACTCCCCAAATGCCGAATTCGTGTTGGGGGGTGAGAATTATCTAATCTTTCAAGCCAAAATGTTCTAGTGTTTGGATCCCATCCGCAAATAGCAAAAACCAGGTCATACCTCCCACTTTGACCTGACAAACGCAGATTCTTCTACCTCACATCTGCCTCACTATGATTGATTGAATTCCGTTGAGTTTGCTCCCATCTACCATCGGTATTGACAAAAAGAAGAATCACTGAAAGGCGTTGTTTGTCGAGTTTTCTGGTGAAATTATGATAGACTTTCGAATCATTATTTTCAAGAGGAAGCGTGTGATTTTAGGAGTCTACATCCAACGCAAGTGATGCATATGTTGGTTTCGTCAATGATACATTTACTGCACCATCATTTTGGGACCATGGACCTTTTTAACCTTTTTATCAGTATAGTTAGAGAATGGTATTAGTTCAAACAGGCCCTCAGTCTCAGATTTGAGACACTCACTTTTCAGTAACGTGAATGGCAACAGATAAACTCATGCATTACGTGAGATCATACTGAGTATGGTTCAGTCACTGTCAAGTCGGGCTGCTCAGATACTTGGTTGGTAAGTCCTTACAAAATTCGGTAAAATTTGAGCAGGTTTCGCATTCCGACTGTACAATAGCATGGTGAACGTAAATCAGGAAGATGGCTCAACATATATTTATGGTCTGATGGCATGTGTTTTAGACTACTGTAATGCAAAGCTCACACAAGTTGAATTGCTATGCTATCCGAGCTAGTTTAAGGTAATGCTTGTACAGCTATCATAGCAAATTCAAACATCATAAACAACCTGCAATGGAGAAAGTAGTAGTAAACAACAGGGACAGGTTCAAAACAGTTTTGTTTATGAAGAAATTTGGACCTGTCTGTAAGTGCAATTCGAAGTGAGAGGGTTTGTAAATAATCTTGTTTGGTGCATATATATATATATATATATGCATAAGTAAACTAAAAAGCAATTATCTCTCTACGGTGACCTGTTTACCCTCAGTTCAAGCGGACGTGGGTTAGATAAAGGCTTAAAAATGTGAGGTGTGCTTGGATTTTCTGTGAAACAGTTAATACGAGTGACACTTCCCTAGGATTCTCGCGATCGAAATTATTAGAAAGGGGTCTCTGATACGACCATTAAGCGTAACAGTGTGAAACCTATTTGTTACGTGGACTCCATCTATGGTAGCGGAGTTCCTCGTGGCGTCGTGGTCCTGTGGTCACAGGGGTCGCAAGGGTGCGAAGTGTGTCAGACTTGGCTGTGAGAGTCCGTGGAAGAGCTTGATCACAATTAGGTCATTGGCTTGGGTTTATTTGATTGTTGATCTGCGGGTTTAGTCACCAGGATGAAGGAAATATTGGCTACCGCGGCTACTTACAAATGGGAGAAGGATACAGTCTTGATGTGCTTCAAGTCACGTCAGTTTTCAATATATTCTACAAATACGTGCAGTAATATACTCACGTTCATAATCAATTGTGTGGTTCTCAGTTAAGGCGCATAACTCCACGGTGGAGTCTGTTTCCACAGTTCTGTCGTACGTTTGCGCTAGTAAGTTTGTACGATACCTAGATTCAGCAAACCTCTGAGGTATTTCAGTAGGGGTCTNTGAAACCTAATTGTTACGTGGACTCCATCTATGGTAGCGGAGTTCCTCGTGGCGTCGTGGTCCTGTGGTCACAGGGGTCGCAAGGGTGCGAAGTGTGTCAGACTTGGCTGTGAGAGTCCGTGGAAGAGCTTGATCACAATTAGGTCATTGGCTTGGGTTTATTTGATTGTTGATCTGCGGGCTTAGTCACCAGGATGAAGGAAATATTAGCTACCGCGGCTATTTACAAATGGGAGAAGGATACAGTCTTGATGTGCTTCAAGTCATGTCAGTTTTCAATATATTCTACAAATACGTGCAGTAATATACTCTTAAAGACAAATGAGTCCTTTCCCCAGGACGTTGTTTGTCGATCCGATCTACCGTAGATAAGAATAAACAACATTCTATGAAATGCATTTGAGTTGAGGCATAGTGACCATATATCATCAAAATGCGTCTGCATCCGGTGAACTGCCATTGAATAGGCACTGTTCTCGCTTGGTGCTAGGTGAAAGTTTAGGAATTTAATCCTATTGTTTTCACGTTCGGTCACCTTGATGAACGTGATGCAGTTCTAATGTCCGTATAAGCATTCTTCTTGCTGGCATTTGGAGGTGATCGCAACCTTACCATCCACGTAACGAAGACAACCGAGAAGCTAGGTAATGTGGTGTCATATAACGGAAGTTACTAATAGTGATTCAGGAGATTTCACGACAAAACCATTATTCTGTTTCTTGTTTAGAACGTAGAACAAGAGGTTGTCGGACAAAAACTCCTTATATGGACTAGTGTCATTTGGTGACACGGCTGCCCTATTTTCTACCAAAGCGTCATCTATTCAAAAAAGAGAAAATTATTGAGTTTTTGGTGAAATTACGTCATTTTATATTGTCTTTCACTCTTCAGTGAGTTCTGGTTGCCGTAGGTGAGGTTAAAGTCAAGAAGATTGTGATAGTTCCCATGAAGAAAGTCACTGTCTAATTATCCAATTTATAACAAGTTATGCAAGCTAAATGCACCAACTTTGTGGATAGTTCCTTCAAGAGAAATCCAAAACCAACTCTACGTCGCGGTTTGCATATTACTGTGGTAGCGCCTACTTTCGAGATAAGATAAACTATGAACTGTATGAAATTCTGTAGAATAGAGTTTTCTTCAATGTACGCAAGACTAGTAATCCACATGCGTATATTCGGATGCTTTTTCAGCAAAATTCCCATCACTTTGCTCTTCAGAAAGAGTTGAATAATCAGTTCGGAAGCGCGGGGATTGCACTCAGGCTAAAATTTCGTTTGCACATTTGAGTGTTCTCCAACAGTCTACTTTAATACCTTTAAATACCTTTAAATTAGTGTTTTAAAGTTTAAGGTGTAATGTGCAGGTAAAACTGAGTTACCTCTTCATCTAAACCGGGACTGTTTTTCTATCAAATGTTCAACTTAAAACAAGGAGCATTGGAATGTGAAATTCGAATGTGTCTTAAGCATTCATTGGTATTCTCAAACCAGTGAAAATTTCGCAGCTTGTGGTCTAATGTCTTAGCTGTCAACATCTAAGCGCGATACCAAGAAAGATGAACGACAGTTTTTGAAATTGGCGGTGTCAGCCAAGAATGTTTTGCCCGTCACTGGGTCTATGCTTTGCAAAGCTTGGAACTGTGACAAAGAGTGGATCTAATTTTCACAGCCACTATCTACCGTGCAGAGTGATCCTTCGATCCTTGTTCCAACCACGTAAAACTACGAACGCAC